TTTACAATATTTGTCTTCTTGATGGATTCTTTCCTTGAGTATTATGAAGTGTCCTTCTGTGTTTCTTTTTATGGTCTTTGTCTTGAGTCCATTTTATCTGATATAAGTATTGCTACACCAGTTTTTTTCCTGTCCATTTGCTTGGAATATTTTTTTCCAACCTTTCACTTTCAGTCTGTGTAGGTCTTTTGTTCTGAGGTGGGTCTCTTGTAGGCAGCACATGTGCAGGTCATGTTTTGTTGTCCATTCAACTACCCTGTGTCTTTTGATTGGTGTATTTAATCCATTTACATTTAAGGTTATAATGGACAGGTACTTATTCATTGCCATTTTACCACCCTTTTACCTGTGTTTTTCTGGCACTCTTTTTCTTATCTTCTTAAAGCAGTCCCTTTAGCACATCTTGCAGTGCTGCTTTGGTGGAGGTGTATTCTTTTAGCCTTTTTTTATTTGGGAAACTCCTTATTTCACCTTCCATTTTAACTGAGAACCTTTTTGGGTACAGTACTCTTGGTTGCAGGCCTTTGCTTTTCATTACTTGGAATATTTCTTGCCATTCCCTTCTGGCTTGTAGTGTTTCTTTTGAGAAGTCAGTTGATAGCTTACCAGGGCTTCCTTGTATATTACTTACTGTTTCTCCCTTGCTGCCTTTAAGATTCTCTCTTTGTCTTTGAATTTTGCCCCTTTATAATGTGTCTTGGAGTGGGTCTCTTTGGGTTCCTCTTGATTGGGACGTTCTGTGTTTGCTGGACTTGTGTGACTTTTTCTTTCCTCAAAATAGGGAAGTTTTCCATCATCACTTTTTCAAACAGGTTTTCTATCCTTTGCTCCTCTTCTTCTCCTTCTGGTATCCCTATTATATAGATGTTATTAAGTTTCAAGTTGTCCTGCATTTCCCTAAACACCTCTTCATTCTTTTTGAGTCTTTTTTCATTTTCTTGCTATATCTGGGAGTTTTTTTCTACCTTTTGTCCAGCTTGCTGACTCGATCCTCTGCTTTACCTAGCCTGCCTTTGATTCCTTCTACTATGTCCTTCAAGTCAGAAATTGTTTTCTTCATTTCATCTTGCCTCTTGTTGATAGTTTCTGTGTCATTTTTTCATGCTTATATAGTTTGCAATAAGTTCCTTGTAGCTTTCCTGTAGTTTTTGGTAATTTTCACTGAGCTCACTGAGCTTCCTTATAACCATTGTTTTGAACTCAATATCTGATAGTTGACTTGCTCTATTTGACTTAGCACTATCTGAGGGTTCCCCCTTTCCTTTAGATTGGGGGTTGTTTCTTTGTCTTCCCATTATTTGTGAGACTCTTCTTGTTTGTTTCTGCTTCTTAAAATGATCTGTTTTGTCTCCCTGACTTGGCAGTGTGATCTTCTATGGTAGGAGACCTATGACATTCAATGGCGCAGTCTTCTTGGGCTCCCAAACTTGATGCTCTTAGGATGCCCTTTATAACATTTTTGTTGGCTTCCTGGATGTAATTCGGTTTTGATTGTTATTTTGTCATTCTTTGGTGGGTCCTTCCCTCCAGCTGTTTGACCGAGGTTCACTCCTCTCACCACATAGCACAATATGCTATTGTGCAGGTGCTGCCAGAACAAAACTGCAAAGCCCAGGAAACAAACCCACACCTGCAAAAATAACTCCCTCCTTCAATCCCATTATCAACAGCAAATGAACCACTATTAATAAGGGTATAAAGAGATTAAGGCTATTATAAGAAAGGGAAGTGAATGTGAGATGACCTACTGAAAGAAAAATGATTTTGAGAGTACAGAGAGAGAGCACTAATAAAAGTTGGGATTCAGAACAATGCGAAGTGAGAAAGTAAAATTTACATCATGATGAAAAAGGGAATGAAGAAGACAGAATGTGCACAAACTTGATGGACAAGAAATGAATGTTAAAAAGCTATGCAGGAAAGAAAATATTGTAAATCACAGAGAAGACCACAGTGGAATTTCATCTTGGTAGCCTCTAGTATTTACCATTCTTTTTTCTTTCTGGATCTGCTTCTAGTGATGTCAGATGTTGATCCTATCTGCCCTTAGGCTGCCAGGGATTTACTGTCTGTGGCTTGTCTCTCTCAGTTGTTAGTCTAGTCACTCTGTACTCAGTTCTCTCCCCAAAGCCTCCATGTCCCCCACCTGTCCTCAAGTGTCTCTAGCCCATCTTTACCAGGGCTCTACTGCCTGTGGCTGACTCCTTTGATTGTTAATCTAGTCACTCTGCACTCAGCAGTAAAGCATAATCACCACACAGTACCTCCTGGGGTTGGCAGGCTGCTGCCACTTGGTGGGGAGTGGTCAGCCTGAGCAAGATGGCTGCTGCAGTATGGCAGATGAGTCAGCACCTGGACCCTGCCTGCTACTCTCTTATGTTCCCTGATGATGGGGGATCAAACCCACAACCTTGCAGTGGAGGAACAGTAGCCCAGACAACTGTGCTACCTCTCTGGGACTGTGATCTCTTTAATGTATTGCTGAATTTGGTTTGCTAATATTTTGTTAGGGATTTTTGTATCTATGTGCATCAGGGATATTGGCTTATAATTTTGTTTCCTTGTAATATCTTTATCTGCTTTTGAAATCAGGATAATGCTGCCTTCCTGACATGATCTTGGGATTCTTCTTTTCTCAAATGTTTTGAAATAGTTTGAGGACTCTAGGCACAAATTCTTTGAATCCTTGGTAGAATTCATCTGTGAAGACATCCAGTCCAGGACTTTTGTTTGTTGGCAGTTTCTTGAGTACTGCTTTTATTTCATTTCTTGTAATTGGTCTGTTCAGATTTTGTTTATTGTTTTCTTTATTTGGTCTTGGAAAACTGTGTGTTTGTAGGAATTTATTCATTTCTTCCAGATTGTCCAATGTTGGCATATAGTTATTTCTAGCATTTACTTATAAATCCTTTGTATTTCTATGGTGTCAGTTGGCATTTCTCCTCTTTTATTTCTGATTTTATTTATATGTGGTTTATTTCTCTTTTTTTCTTGATGAGTATGGTTAAAAGTTTATCAATCTTGTTTATTTTTTCAAAGAACCAGGTCTTAGTCGTGTTGATTTTTTTGTTTTGTTTATTTAGACTGTATTTTGTCTACCTCCACTCTGATGATTATTATTTCCTTTTTTACATTCACTTTGGATTTGTTGTTCTTTTTCTAGTTCCTTTAGGTGTAAAGTTAGATTTTTTTTATTTGAGATTTTTCTTGTTTCTTGAGGTCCATAAGGCTATGAATTTCCCTCTTAGGTCTGCTTTCACTGTGTCCCATAGATTTTGGGTTATTGTGTTCTCATTTTCATTTGTTTCAAGTTATCCTTCAATATCTTCCTTGATCTCATTGTTAACCCCTTCATTGTATAGTAACATCATTTAGCCTCCGTGTGTTGTGTGTTTTTCATTTTTTTTCTTGTGATTGAGTTCTCATTTCATAATATTGTAATTAGAGAAGATGCTTGATATGATTTCAATCTTTTTAAATTTGCTGAGACTTGTTTTGTGGCCTAACATGGTCTATCCTGGAAAATGTTCCATGTATGTTTCAAAAGAATGTGCATTTTGCTACTCAGGGTGAAATGCTCCACAAATATTAATTAAATCCATCTGTCTGTTTTCTTCACTTTTTGTCTTGAGTATCTATCCGTTGATGTTAATGGGGTGTTAAAGTCCAGTCCTATGACTGTATTATTGTTGGTCTCTCAATTTATATCCATCAATAATTGCATTATATATTTAAGTGCTCCAATGTTGGGTGTATAAATGTTTACAAGTGTATATCCTCTTGTTGAATTGATCTCTTTATCATTATATAATGTCCTTCTTTGTCTTTTATCATACCCTTTGTTTTAAAGTCCATTTGTCTAAGTATTGCTACCCCAGGTTTTTTTTCTTTTGATTTCTATTTACATGCAATACCTCTTTCCATCCATTTACTCTCAGTCTTTTAATGTCTTTTGATCTGAAGTGAGTCTTTTGCAGACAGCATATATATGACTTGTTTCCTTATCCATTTAGCTACTCTAAATTGCCTTCTGATTGGTGAATTTAATCCATATGTGTTCAAAGTGGTTATTGATAGGCATGTTGCTATTGCCCTTTTATAATTCGTATTTATTTTAGGATCAAATTTCTCATGTGCAATTAATTTATTTTTTAAATATAATGCAATTTCTTGCTCTTATTGAAAAAATAATATCTACCACTTATTGAGCATGTACTATAATGGTATGTACCATACACCTTCCACTTGTTGAGACTAGCCCTTGCAACAACCTTGCAAAATAAGTAATTTTGGTTTAATTTTATAGATGAAGATTTATTTTAGAGGCTTAGAGAGAAACTTATGAATCATATATAATGCATAGTTAACACAGAAAAAAATGGGCATAAACACATCTTTTCTGACTTTACATCGTATGTTTTTTCTGCTATGTATATTGCCTGTTATCCAGTGGTACTTTGAGTAAATTTGTTCAACCCTAAAGATAGCACTGTATTTATTATTACAAGTAGGTATTATCTGACAATAAAGTTATTTTTGCAATGTCTCACTTATAGTCATTGAAAGGTATAAATAATAAGGCGATGGGTAGTTTATGTTTTGATAGAGTCTGCTGAAAGAGACTTCAGTTTCTGATAGTTTCTTGATCATAGGACTAGATCAGCAGTTACTTATTATTTAAGCTTTTAAATTTCTTTCTTGCCATCAAGTCAAATAAACAAATTTACATGGTATTTGTTTTAGTATTCAATAATATCATGTTTTATGTTTATCATGTTAACTTGTTGAATAGATATAGACACTAATGTGTATGTTCTTTGGTTGTTCATAATGTGTAATTATTTTCATAAATTTATTTATATTCATTTATTTTAGTTATGGAAATCTGAGTTACTTTTGAACTTTCAAGTGCAGTTTGTACATATATTAAATTGATAGCAAATCAATTACTTAAAAATTTTGTAATTTTTGTAATTCTTTTTCCTCTTCTTTTTCTTTAGGGGTCAGCAGCATTATATATGGTAAGTGTGACTTTTGGCCAGTTAAAAGAAAGTACCATTACTGTTGTATGTACTATCTCTGTTCCTGGAAGAGAATATTATATTTTAACTATTGTAGGAAAACTATTAAAATGCAGCGTTTATGGTTGCCAAAGAGAAAACAGGTAAATGTATTTTATTAATGTCTTTTGTGGACACCATTAGGTACTAGGTGTGTTGTTAAGTATTACAAACCATGATCTTTTTTAAAAAATCATTTTTAATTGTTACTCTATTACAGTTGTCTCAGTTTTTTTACCTTTGCCCATCCCATACTCTCCTCCCACAGTCAATTCCCAAATGGACTGTTGTCCATGTCTGTGGGTCATTCATACATGTTTTTTTGTCTATTAGTGGTATCCACCATGCAGCCTGTAGGCCATGTGCAGCCCAGGATGGCTGTGAATGCGGATAACACAATATCGTAAAGTTACTTAAAATATTTTGACATTTTTTTCTTTTTTGGGTATGATTATGTGTCTCAGTGTATTTAATGTGTGGCCCAAGACAATTCTTCTTCTAGTGTGGCCCAGAGACACCAAAAGTTTAGATCCCTTCCCCTTCTTTCCATCATTATCCCTTCCTCTGGATCCCTTCCTCTTCTTGGCATCATTATCCCTCTACCCCAACCCCAGTCATTTTCAGTCTGTTCCATGTGTCCATGCCTGTGGTTCTATTTTGTTCATTAGTTTAGTTTGTTCATTAGATTCCTCTTATAGGTAAGATCGTATGGTATTTCTCTTTCACCAACTAGTTTATTTCACTTAGCATAATATTTTCCAGATCCATCCATGCTGTTGCAAAAGGTAGGAGTTCCATCTTTCTTCCTGCTGCATAATATTCCACATGTAAATGTACCACAGTTCTCTGATCCACTCATTTACTGATGGGCACTTAGGTTGTTTCCAGCACTTGGTTATTGTAAATAGCACCACTGTGAACATAGGGGTGCATAAGTTCTTTTGAATTGGTGATTCAGGATTCTTAGGGTATCTTCCCAGCAGCAGAATCACTGTGTCAAAAGGAAGTTTCCATTTTTAGTTTTTTAAGGAAATTCCATACTGTTTTCCACAGTAGCTGAGCCAGTCTGCATTCCCACCAAAAGTGCCCTAGGGTCCCCTTTTCTCTGCATCTTCGCCAGCACTTGTTACTTGTTGATTTATTAATGATGACTATACACCAGAATAAACTCAAAATGGATAAAAGATTTAAATATAAGTCATGATACCATAAAAGTCCTAGAGGAACACATGGGCAGGAAAATTTCAGATATCCGATGTAGCAATATTTTTGCCAATATACCTTACAGGGCAAAGGAAATAAAAGAGAAAAAATGGGACTATATCAAACTAAAAAGCTGCACAGCTAAAGAAATCATTGTCAAATTGAACAAGGAACTGATTGTATGAGAGAACATATTTGCCAATGATACCTTGGACAAGGGTTTAATTTCCAAAATACATAAAGAACTCATACAACTCAACACCAGGAAGACATACAACCCAATTAAAACATGGGCAAAGGATCTGAATAAGACACTTCTCCAAGGAGGACATACAGATGGCCTATAGACATATGAAAAGATGCTCAACATCACTAGCCATCAGAGAGATGCAAATTAAAACCACAATGAGATATCACCTCACACCTGCCAGAATGGCCCAACCATGTTCTTATTCCAAGGTAGTTTTAGGACAGCTTCAAATCATTGGGCACATCAATTAAATATCATTGCATGACTATTGCATCAATGAATCATTCTAGGGGCTGAAGAAACACTAGAAAGAGAACATTACTAATACAGTTTCTATCCTCAAGTATTTTATAATTAAACAGAAAATGTTTCTTGACCATATCTAGACTTCTGTCCTGCTCCCAAATGAAACAAAGAGTGCTACCTTTGATTCATGTTCTTCTTTTCCCTTCCTTGCTAATGATTGTAAGCAAAGTTATTTTTAAGATATAACATTTACACAATGGAATACTACACTGCAGAAAGAAAGCAAGAACTCCTACCCTTCACAACAGCATGGATGGAACTGGAGAGCACTATGCTAAGTGAAATAAGGGAGGCAGTGAGAGACAAATACCATATGATTTTACCTATGAGTAGAGGCTAATCAGCAAAACAAACAAATGAGCAAAATAGAACCACAGACATGGAAATAAAGAAGAAACTGACAATGACCACAGGGGAGGGGGAAGGGGGTTAAGAAGGGAAAGGGACAAGAAAGGGAACAAAAATAGAGGACTCATGAGCACGGACAATGTGGGGGGACTGACTGGGGGGATGGGGGAGGATGGGGTAGAGGTGAGCAATGGGGAAAAGGAGGGACACTGTGACTAAACAACAATAAAAAAAGAATATTAGATAAAGGTTTATCATTAAAAATTTTAAAGATAAGAAAAAGCTAAAAAAAAATATTCTGTTGCTCTAGGCATGAAGCCAGAATCATATATCTGTGTTGCAATTTCTTTTTGCATTTGGTACAGTCCATTTTTTTGTCCATAAATATATTATTTGATGTTATACATTAACCAGAAGATTAATAAACTTCTAAAGAAGATAGGGAAATGTTTGTTAAAAAGCAATACAGTTAAACATACATATTGATAAGTAGCATCCAATTAAAAGTAGTCATAAAAAAGTGTATATTTTAAAATTGTGTCCTTGTAGTTTAGAGTCTCCTATGTTATACATGCATAAATTAGCCAAAGGACTTTAATGCTGAAAACAGGTAGTTTTTACTATTTAAAAATGATGTTTATAGTTCTTTTATATTTTCAATAAACTTCCCCAAAGATAAAAGATTTGTCTTGAAAGATTCAAAGAGTTGGAATTCAATTTGTTTATTTTATATTTTAATAGAAATAAATGTATTATAAATGAAAATATCATGATTTAATGTTGAAAACAGTGATGAGTTTATAGATGAGCTTTTTCTCACATGGTTCAATAAAGATTTGAAGTGCTTATTTGCTCTGAAATTCTTGAAGTATATACTATGTGACTTCCCAGTAAGCTTTCTTTAGTGTTACTTGTAATTTCAACTTGTGCCCCAAGATAAGTAGAGCTCCTCCCTATTTAAATCAGACATACAGCAATATTTTTTTTCCTGATCCTATACTTGTAAAACATAAACTTAAAAATTTTCATTTTTTTAGAGTGGTAATTTGTTATTTTAATAAATATTTTTTATTTTTCAATTACAGTTGACATACAATATTAATTTCAGTGTACAACCCGGTGATTAGACATTATATAACTTAGTAGATCATCTAGATAAAATCTAGTACCCATCTGACATCATACAATTTACTGACTATATTTTCTGTGTTGTACTTTATGTCCCCATGACTATTCTGTAAACACCAAAATGTACTTACTAGTCTCTTCACTTTTTTTTACCCATTCTGCCAATCCCAGTTCCATCTGGCAACTGTCAAAATGTCCTCTGTATCTATGAGTCTATTTCTGTTCTGCTTGTTAATCTATTTTTAAAAAATTCTACATATAAGTGAAATCATGTGGCATTTGCCTTCCTTTGTCTGGCTTATTTCACTCAGCACAGTACCCTCTAGGTCCATCCAGGTTGTTGTAGATGGCAAGGTTTCATTCCTTTGTATGGCTGAGTCATATTTCATTGCAAATATGCACCAATTTTTCTTTATTCATTCATCAATTTATGGGCACTTAGGCTGCATTCCTATCTTGGCTATTTTAAATAATGCTGTAATGGAAATATGGATGTATATGTCTTTTTGATTTAATGTTTTGGGTTTCTTTGGATAAATATCCAGAAATGGAATTGCTGGGTCCTTCTTTGTTTATTGTTACATAGCCTTTGTTTTAAAGTCTGTTTTTTCTGGTACAAATATTGCTACTTGAGCTTTTTCGTTTGTTTGTTTCCATTTTCATGAAATATCTTTTTCCATCCCTTTACATTTAGTCTGTGTCTTTCAATCTGGGCATGCCTCTTGTAGGCAACATATGTAATGGGTTTGTTTTGTTTTCCATTTGGCCACCATATGTCTTTTGATTGGAGCATTTAATCCATTTGGATTTAAAGTAATTGTTGATAAATATACATTTATTGCCATTTTATTATAATATTTTAATCTTTTTTTCTTCTTAAAGTAGATCTTTTAACATTCCTGTAATACTGGTTTAGTGATGATGAATTTCTTTAGATTTTTCTTGTCTGAGAAGCTCTTTATCTCTTCTTCAATTCTAAATGATTATTTTGCTGGGTAGAGCAACCTTGCTTGTAGGTCTTTGTTTTTCATCATTTTGAATATTTCTTGCCAATCCCTTCTGGCCTGCAAAGTTTCTGTTAGTAAATCAGCAGTTAGTCTTACAGGATCTCCCTTGTAGATAACTGCTTTTCTCTTGCTGTTTTTAAGAATTTTTATCTTTAACCCTTAACATTTTATTTTATTTATTTTTATTCTTGTTTATTCTATTACAGTTGTCCCATTTTTTCCCCCTTTGTCCTTCTCTGTCCAGACCACTCCCTTCTCCCAGAGTCCATTCCCATTCCATTGTCCATATCCATGGACCATTCATATGTGTTCTTTAACTTATCCTTTCCCCTTCTTTCTACTATTCCCTCCTCCCCTTTCCTCTGGGAGCTGTCAGTCTGTTCCTTGTTTCTATGTCTCTGGTTTTATTTTGCTTGTTAGTTTATTTTGTTCATGAGATTCCTCTCATGAGATCATATGGTATTTGTCTTTCTCCAACTGGCTTATTTCTCTTAGCATAATAGTCTCCAGTTCCATCCATGTTGTCACAAAGGGTAGGAATTCCTTCTTCTTTCTTTCTGCTGCATGGTATTCCATTATGTAAATGTAACATAGTTTTTTTTATCCACTCATTTACTGAATTTGAAGCCCTGACTGGTATGGCTCAGATGGTTTGGCATTGTTCTGCAAAGTGAAGCATCGCTGGTTTAATTTCTGGTCAGGGCACATGCCTAGGTTTTGGATTAAATCCCCAGTTAGGGTGCATGCAGGAGGCAACCCTGATCAATGTTTCTGTCTCACATCAATGTTTCTCTCCTGTTTCTCCTTCCCTTCCTCTCTCTAAAAATAAAGAAAATATATATTTTTAAACTTCTGAAGAAAGACAGAGATCTAGGAAATCCACTGATAATAAATAGCAAGACACTTAAAGGGTACTGCTAGTTGTTGCTGAGAAAGTGGTATTGAATCCTGACTTACAAATCTGAAAATTTAAGGTTTACTCAAGTACATTCCTTTTTCTTCTGCAAAAGCATCTTTCCAGTGTGACTTCACTTGTCCACAGACCTCATTCCATTTATCTATTACATTGAGTAAGTTTAGGAGGAAGAACAAAGCCTATCCACAACTTTCTTATATTTTGGAGCATATCGAATATATTTCTACTTTATTAGATATAAGTAAGATCTTTCAAAGTGTCTAGGTGAACCCATATTTCTTCAGAAAAGGAGACAAGCATCATTTAATTAACACCAGATCTTGTAGGTATAATTCTGACTTGGGTTTTTTGAAAATGAAGATGCTATATTGTCTCATCTGTAAAAAAAAAAAAAAAAAAAAAAAAAAAGTCATTCTATGTGATTTAATAAATATTTACTAAACACTTTTTCTACTATTTTCCAAGCAGTATGCTAGTTATTGGAGGTTATCAAATGAGATATAATAGATGACAAACTGCTTTGCAACATTTTAAACAGTATGTAAAAATAGTTCTACATCAGGGAACCTTACTAAAAATACTCCTTTTTCTTGGAGAAAATCATTTTCTAAATTGTCTAATTTTTCTGCCTCAGAGCTCTTCAGTTAATGACTAGGAATATTGGAATCACAATCATAATTTTATTCATAATCCATAGTTTCATTTATCCCAAGTTGTGTAAGCATTAAATTGATATCGATTCATCTTTGGGATGATTTTACATAGATACCAAGTGGATTTTGACATCATAAGCTATTGCCTTTATACCTTAAAGTTCTTTCTTCTTTCTAATTTGTGAGATAGTATTCTCTTAATAATTTATGAAGCAATTGTTACATAGAACTGTTTCTCAAATTTTTGCATTTTGCTTTGGTTTTCTGTTAAACACTTTTTTCCAAGAATTACATATATGTACTCATTAGTGTTCTAGAAATAGGCTTTTACTTCTCTCATCTAGCTATTTTAGATCACTTTTAAATTTTTGTCTTCATTTACCATTCAAATTGAAAATGAGATGAATGGGACATAGCGAAGGGAAAAAAACTAAAAGATTTTAAAGAACCATGATTTATTTTATGAATATTGTTGTTCCTAGCTAATGATATGATCTTAGGGCATAGATTAAAGATATTGATTGGGTGAAGTACTGTAAAAACTTACCTGTGGTAGAAATAGCTGTTTTTTTTTTAAAATCATGTGTCCACATAGTCATGCAATTGTGTGATAACTATATATTGCTGATTTGGAACCAAATACACTTATTATACGCATTAGTTTCCATTCGCTTTTCTGGTATCATCTCTAATTTCCTTTGTAGTACAGATCAAAAGAGTAGAGTTCAGGACATTGGAGGGTACAGTGGGGAGGAAATACGTATATGAAAGATCAAAGCACTTAGAATTAAGCATGGTGGGGTTAAAAACTTTATAACCTTCTTAAACCTATCAAACAAATTTTATTTGATCATTGATCCTTTATTTTTAATATTTTATTTCATATTTTGAAAGAAAACAGGATAGAGGATAAATAATATATAACTCTTGTTCTTGAACTTTTTTTTTTTAATTGTTCAAGTGCAGTTGTCTCCATTTTCCCACCCCACCCACCCCCACCTCCCACCCTCAATCCTTTCCCCCTTTTGCTTTGTCCATGGGTCCTTTATACATGTTCCTTGATGACCCTTCCCCTTGTTTCCCCCATTATCCCCCTCCCTCAGACACTCTCAAAGTTTTAACACAAGGAGGCCATGTACAAAGTATAATTTCTGTCTTCTATGTATATTTTAAGAATATGGAACGCTTCACGAATTCGCATGTCATCCTTGTACAGGGGCCATGCTAATCTTCTCTGTATTATTCATAGTTTAGAATATGTGCTGCCGAAGGCAGCACTGCAATGGTTTCTTTAACTTGCTTCATAACCAGTATGTTTTTCATTGTGATATTACACTGTATATGTAATCATATGTTTATGATTGTATTAACTATGTTACCAAATTTTTCCCCCTCAAGGACTTGTTGCTGGTACTATAATAACTGGTATCATAATTCTAGGCAAAATTTTCTGGGACTATGGAAAATCAGGGTGAGCATTAAAACATTTATTCTTGGCTTCTTTCCAATAAAGCTTGATGCTGTATCATAAAGAGATAATTTTCTTAGCTTAATTGTATGTTTTGACATATGATTTCTTTATTTCTTTTGTCTATAATTACCATCCTTGATGAACAGACTGTCTTTTTTTAATTTGTCAATATGTTCAAGGGCATTAACATTTCAAAGGAAAATGATTTGAAAGCCAAAGTTTCACTTTGAAATCTATTAATCATTTTACCTTTTCCTTAGAATAATTTATGGTAGCATATGTGTATTGTACAGAAACCAAGAAATCTAGAAAAAACCAGCGTCTAACTAATTGTTAAACTGCCTATACTTAGGCGTTTTTCTGAGTTGTATGTATTAATACATGCCAGTCTAGCCACAGACAGCCCAGTGCCTAAGAGGACAGGCTTTGGAATCCGACTGCTTGCTTCAAGCCTGTGTCTGCTGTTTATGGGCCATGTTGCTATGAGCAACCTAACCTCTCTAGGCCTCAGTTTTCTCATTTATAAAATGGGAGGCATAGAGAACTTACCTTCTGGGATAATAGTAAGGATCAAATGAATTTCTACCTGTAAAGAGGTTAGAACATTGTTTGGCATGTGGTAGGGCCCATAGGTGGCAAAACAGTAACACGGGAAAATATCAGTATTGTTTGAAACATCTGATCTGCATTATATATTCATATATTACATATATTGTCATGGTTAGCTCTTGTATTCTGTAGACAAACAGGATTATTTAAACTGACCCTCTTCTGTTTTTTGTATATTTTATTGCTGAGAAAACTAATTGCAGAGTTTATATAAACTCTTGAGTTTTTTCTACACTTCCCTAATGCCTACATTTTCACCCCTGTAAATGCAATAAAAAAGAAAAGGAAACAAAACAAAACAAAGTAAATTTCTTCTTACTGGCAAAAAAAAAAAGAAAAAATCATGTATATATGTATGTATTTACCTAACTTTTGAGTACCTGTAATTTTTAAATTGCCTTTTTCTCATAATAATAAAATGCAGAAAATTTTAATTTGTTTGTATTCAAATCTATCTTTAAATTATAATTTGAAAATAATTATGATGACATTAATAAATACACAGTAAATAAAAAAAGGAAAGAACAACTATATTTTAATGCTGTTACTAAATTGCCTGTTTTAATTCTTTGGGTGATGTGAGCTATGTACTTTCTGCCCTATATAACTCTTTCCTTTCTCCTTAAATTAACATTATTTAAGCCTTTTATAAACTAAAGTATGTGAATGATCTTTAAATCACTAAATCATTCAGTATTTTAATAAAATATTTGACCATATTTTTCGTCCTGGAGTTTCTAAAATAGTTTTTACTAATAATAAAGTAATATAGAGGTTAGAGTAGCAAATGTAGTAAAATATAACTTTCTTTTCAGGTTTTTCAAAAAACTTTAAAGAATAAAATTTAGAGCTCAGCAAAAATGAACAGAGGTCTAAGTCACGTAAAGTACTTTGATACAGGTGACCCAAAAAACTACTCTGGAAAAAAGTAAACCACCCACCTCATGCTCTTCCTTGCATCAATTCCAGCTCTCCTTCTGGGTTAGAACATTATCAATTTATCTTCCAAAGTCAGTGCTCTGGGGCTCCGGAGGTGAGAGGGGTTACCCGCAGGTGATGAGTTTACAGGGTGCTAGTTCTTGGCTATCATCAGTTTCTTTATATACTTTGGTGAAATAATTGACTGTGATATTTTTAAAAGGATGAAAATTGCTGAAGCATAAGAGGGAATATTAGTTTTGAGTTTTATTGGGGTTTTACAGCAAACCTAATCCCTCTATTTCTGAATAAGAAAATTCAGGCAAAAGCCTCTAAGAAAGAATTTGCCTTTTTTTGTGTGTGCCCTTTAAAAACACTCCACTTGCCTTATTTGAGGAGTAAAAGCTGTGTAAAGTAAGAGCTAACTTCATACATTCCTGGTTATTTTCCCGATTTCATATCAACTTAATTAAAATTTGATCGTAAAGAGGATTTGATCTTAATGAGTATGAAAGTAATTATGTACCTTCACGTGGTGATTCTTTGTGTTTGCCTATGGGAGGATTTATTTACTTCTTTTAGAAGTGTTGGGTTTGTATGATATATTTTAGTTTAGAAAAAGGATGTGATTGTAAGCAACTGCCGGTATTGCTTTTTGATTCAAATTAAAAATATTTAATTCAATTAATGTTTTCTTTCTCTAATATTCAGCTCTTATTACCCCCAGGAGAACAACAAAGCAGTCAATGTCACATTTCATAATTTAAGTGTGACTGATGATGTCTCAGATGTATGACCTTCTGGTAGATTATGAAAGGTATATGGTTCTATAAAGTGACATTTATGATTCACAATTCCATCAATACTGCTGGATCAGGATTTGTCTGGTACTATTTGAGGATAATAGAGCTTAAGTTTCTATTATTGTCAGAACTGTTTTATTTTTTTGGAATGAGTGACTAACATATTGAATCTCTTATTAACATGACATATTATCAGTTCTTGACTTTTCAGCAATATGCTCATCATCTCATCCTGCATTTTGCACTTAGTTCATTGTAACAGTTAGATGCTAGCAATGCCATAAATATTTGGAAACCCCCCCCCCCCAGAAGATTGAAACATTAAAGCTTACAAATAAGAATGCCTTCATTATGACTATTTGCATCATGAGATGATTGACTTATATTGTATTTATTTATTCTTTTTGCTTGATGGTTTTTAGGGTTTCCAGTGTTTAAGAAATATTAAAATTTGATGTAAGGTATCTTTTATAAGTCTTGTTTATGAACTTTATAAGGTATCTCTTTTATGTTGTCACACAGTTATTATACAAAAATAACTTTATGTAACCATATCTGTGAAACTTTCTAGGTGTCTTCTTTTTTAACAAAATGTTTCTCTATTTCACATGCAGTAGTCAAGGAGTTCTCACTAACTTTTAATCTGAAAGTATCTTCATTGATTCCATCTTGACCACTTTACTAATCTCTAACTCTACACTGGTTGAGGTTGTCCATACTCTGTAATTTACTGCTTTTGCATTTGTTTGACATCCCAAATTAACCAATTAATTCTTCTTCGTGGCTCATCACATACTAAATAAAAATTTCATGTTTATCACCAGTAAATAAAATTATTTTGATTTTAATGTTTTTTTTAACTTTCAGGACACACATTTGTAATACTGACAGTTTTGCTTATGACGCTAGCAGCTGTTGGCTATTTGACCTAACCAAAGAAGACATAAGAAGAAAATGTACACAAAGGCACAGAATATTTCTAGTTTCTTATAAGTTTCTGGAGCCGTGGACACAATATGTGCAGTAGTGCCCTTCATTTTGCACATTTTCATTGTCTTTAAGGTACATAGAAATGTCACTGAAGCAAGAAGAAACGAACCTGTCCTGGAATTACATTCTCAACACTTCTAAACCTCTTAAAAATAGAACAACTCATAACACTGAGAGTGACTACTTTCCTAAAAGTGTAGGAAAGCGTAGAGATCTGTTTATGCTCAGAAAGTGAGCGTGAGGAAAAGGAAATAAATGATTTTTACATTGGATATGTAATGTTATTTTTACTTACAAAAAATAAAAAACTAAAAACATTAATTGGATATTGAAAACAAAAAAAGATATTGCCCAGTCTTTTCTGGGCAAAAATGTCAAAGAGAGATTAACCGATTTATAAAATAATCCTTCTTGACTCTATGGCATTTTATCTTTCTTTATTCTAGTAAAATACATATAAATGGGTTGGCAAAATATTTTAAATGAAAAACATGTTAATGGCCCGGAGTGTTAAGTTTCTTGGGTTAGTTGGTGGCAAAGGAGAAGTATATAATGAAGAAATAATTCTTTCTTTGTCACATAAGTACAGGTAATTAACAAGAATTTAACCCCTTGTAAGATGAATCAGTGACAATTTTAATTTTCTTCTTAGGACAATCTTTCTTTTTGTAAAAGAATCCTAGGAAAGGGTGAAAGGATGGAAGGTGTCTTTTTATTAACTTCTTTAAAAATATCCAGAGATATTACAATATTAACATAAGATTCTGTATTTCTGAAGTGATCCTGAATTGTAAATCTTATTTTTTGTAATATTAAGGTTATTTATATTAAGTTACATCAGTGAACACATTGGTTTTACATGTATAACAAGAAATGTTCAAGAAGATATGTAAAGAAAAATTTATTTTCCTTAAATGCAATAAATAATTGATTATATTTAAGGAAAAACTTATTTTCCTTAAATGCAATAAATAATTCATCATATTTTTGGCTCATGTAGTATTTGAAATTTACTTTCTTAAATGTAAATAAATTATTTCCAAATAAGAGATTCCCTTTCTGCGCCTCATAAGTAGTTTGGATTGATATCCTTTTAGTTATCCCAGTGTAAAACATTTTTGGTTACATTTAAATTATACTATATTATACTTTCTTAAGTATGTCACATCCTCTCATATTAGAGCATTATATTACTTCTTACTGATTTACTGAGGGGTAATCACATTAATTTCTAGATTCGTCATATATTTTTATCATCTTGACAGTTACATTTTAAATGTTGGAATAGATTAGGGTATATACATAACTAATTTTAACAATAGTCATTTGTCATATTACATTACCTACTTTGTTGTTGGAGTATTTTAAAGTAAATTCCATATGCATCAATGTCATTTCATTAACTGCTTTAATATGTATTTCTAACGATAAGGATATTTTTTCTACCTAACCATAATCATCACTACCAACAAGATTAACAATAATTTCCTAGTAGTTTCTGACATTAGGAAATTCTTTTAACTCTCCTGATGATTCTGCTCTGCTTACTGTGTGACCTACTATTTCCCAGGGTAGGAAGTAGCAAGGATAACACTAATTTAGTTATTCAGAAAAATACCTGAGATCCTAATATGTACAGATTACATGTGTTAAGTGCTGAGGTTACCAAGATGACAACACAGTGTTTGCCCTCAAGTTCCTTATAGTCTACCACAGAAAGCCCAAAATTATATACTTACTGAGGGAAAGAATGGAGAGTTTTAAGTGTTGTAGTAGTCACCTGTACAGAGACAGAGGATGCCTGAGCTGCCTTTGTTAAGTGAATGAATGGTGGGCAGGGAAGTATTCAAGACAGGCTATGAACCAACAAAGGACAAATAGATGAGGTTCACATGGCATGATTGAGGACTGAATATGTCATTGGTTTAGTGTAGAAGTAAAAATTATAAATTCTAAATATTTTATTGAGCCTTGGTTAAAATAAAAGTTGGAATCAATGGACATAAGTTTATAATAGCTACAATTTTAGGTAGTGGGAAATAGTGAACTTTGACATTAAGTTAGCCTTTATGTTTTACTATTACTTAGATAAGGATAAAAGGTAAAAAAATGATCAGTTTTCTTAAAATAATATAAACAGTATGGCATGTTGAGGATAATGGTGTTTTCTTGTAGGATTTTTAATTTTGTTGTATACTGTTATCATGGAGTTGAATAATTTCATTTTTCCCAAGGCAAGTCCTATAAGACTGAACTTTGGTTGCAATGATTATATTGCCTTTACTCTTGAGACAGATGCTGCTTTGTTGTAAACGATTATACTTGCATGCTATAGAAATTTGTGTTTTATATTGTTTAACACACTAACTCTATCAAAATTCTTGGGACACTTGGACATTAATAGTTTTTGTCTTATAACCCTCTAGCTTTGTATTTTTGGTTAATGACCAAAGTGGAAATTCCTCATTTCATACCCACACACCTTGAGTGTTTCCTCTACCTGCTTTGCCTGAATTAAAAACAGACTCTTCCCTGAAGTCAATGCTTCCTTGGCAGCCTGCTTCAGTGAAGGCTGGTTCATTTTCATACTCCACATGCCTCAATGTGAGATGTGCTGGTGGCATTGTGCTCATTCCCTATTGCTGCTACTTCCATCTCAAGTCTCCTATCTATACCATAAAAAGAGAATTGTTCTTTCCCTCTGGTAGGGTAATTTACTAAAATGTTAAAAATTTTTTTTGTATAATTTTTCCTCTCCTAATTTTAAACAGTTACCAAATTTTGGTCTTCCTCACCATAGAGGAACATCATGATAGGTTGGAAGTAGAACTGCCTAAAACAATTCTGTTCCCTTGCCTTTCTTCTCTGAAATCCTATACTTTCATCATGGACTGAGCTTTGGGGAGGGATGTAAAAGCAGAATGAGGAAGAGAGAAGATTTCCTGTGAACGACAAAGAAGACCAGTATTGCTGAGAACCTCAAAGTCTCCAAGCTAGGCATCCTGACAGTTTCTGGGGCAGGAAGGTAAGACCCAGAAGTGAGTGATGGGAAGTGCAGGGTGATAGTTCTATTTTGAAATTGGGATTTGTTAAAGAATTAGGTGTGCAGTTAAAAAGAAAGGAGTTAAGTATGACACCAGGATTTTTAGCCTGGGAAACAAAGACAGAGGTTGCCATTTACTGAGCTGGGCAGATTTTTCTAACAGAAAGATCAGGAGTTTGTTTTGAACAGTAAGTTTGAGAGGCCTTTTAGACATCAAAGTGACGATGTATAAGTAGTAAAAAAAAAAAAAAAAAACCCTTGAGATAATATTTGGGAGTCATCAAAAGAACATGTGAAGGAACCCAAGTAAAGAAAGCAAGATGAAGACTAAGTTTCAGCATTAGGACTTGCAATATGGAGGTCATTGGTGGCCTTGATCAAAGCTCTTTCAGGAAAATGTGGGAAAAACTAACAGTGAGAGCCTGAAACAGGAACTGAGGACAGATACTGAAGATAGAGAGTATTGGTGAATATAGACAATTTTTTGAAGTGTTTCACGGGAAAGTCAGGGCAAGGAAATAGGATGTTTGCTGACAGGCAATTTGGGTTCAAGAGAGGTTTTATTTTTAAAATATGGAGGAAATTATAACATGTTGTTTGCTGACAGATAGGATGCAGGAGAGAATGGGGAGAATTTCTAAAGTCCTTGAGGAGGTGAAAGATAATCGACTCTATCCTGAGAAGCAGCATAGCTGGTGGCTAAGAGCATAAATTCTGAAGACAGACTACCTGGATTCAAATTGGAGTCCTATCACTTTACAGCTGTATAACTCTAGGAAATTTTCTTTTCTATGCACCATAGTTGTTTCTCTAGAAAATGGTGTTCCATGTGTAAAGTCAGGATACATAGAATTTTTATGAGAATGAATAAACATTAAGTGCTTAAAATAATGTCAACCACATCATAAGTCTTCAGTAGGTTTTAGTTCTTTGTCGTGGAAATATTGGCCTTAGATAAAAGCATATAAGAGAGATCATCCATAGGTAACAGCATAGGAGAACACAATTGCAAGTGAGTAGGGGATACCATGACGGTAGATTTTGGAAATTTTCTTCAAATGTTTTTTATTTTCTCAGTGAAGTATAAAATGAGGTCATCATAAGAATGATATGCATGAAGAGGTGTTAGATGTTTGAAGAGAGGAGAAGGAAAGGGCTAGAGAAATTTATTAATATTAGTGGGTAATGCAAAGGGTCCAGCTGATGGATGTACTCATAAATCTAGACTGCAACCATTAAGCTTGGCATGGTCTGGATATCTAAGGGAACTACAGAAAAGAAGATACTGGGTAGCGTATTTTCATGATATGAGATTTAAGGAAAGGGTTTTTTGCTGAGGAAGGAAGGAGATTTGTCTGCAAGTAGCAATGGTGTAAAAAATAGGGCACCAATTTCACATCTGTGCCTGGGGATATGTGGGGTGAGCCTGGAAAATTTTGTGGTACCAGAAATTAAAAGTTCCAAAAACTAAATAATTGCTCAAAAATGAAGGTGACATATCAAATTGATTCAGAAGACAGCATTAACAAGCTCCCACTGACTTAGAAAAAATAATGATGACAATAGATTATAACACATCGAAAAAATAAAATATATGAAATAAGAATACCAGTATAAATGAATAAATAAGGAAAGTTTCTTTCTTATAGCAGAATTCCAACTAATATATGTAGAAGGAATGATGTAATTGAAAAATCGGCATTTGACAGCCACCACAGTAATAATTATTTTAGACAAAAATCATCAATGGATTCTAAAATTAATAAAATTAATGAGTGAAATCACCAGTATCAGTAATGCAACAGAATACATCACCAATATAGAGACTGGCCATTAAAAGAAAAATAAGATAATACTAATTTTATACCAAAATTTAACTTTATACCAATAAATTCAGCAAACTGAATAAAATGGACAAATTAATTTAATATCCCTATATTAGTTCAAGGAATTGAATTTTTAATTAAATATATTTCCAAATAGAAAACTTCATGGCTTCATTGGTAAATGAAAACATTTAGGAAAGAAAGAATGTCAACCTTACACAAACTTTTTAAAAATAGAGATAGAACCTTGGCTGTTGTGGCTCAGTGGATTGAGTGCCAGCCTGCGAACAGAAGGGTTGCTGGTTCAATTCCCAGTCAGGGCATATGCCTAGGGTGCAGGCCAGTCTCCAGTAGGGGGTGTGCAAGAGGCAACCACGCATAGATGTTTCTCTCCCTCTCTTCCTCCCTCCCTCTCTCTCTCTAAGAATAAATAAATAATTTATTTAAATATATGAAAAATAAAAATAGAGATAGAATATTTCCAATTCATTTTTGAGACTAAAGACATCACAAGGAAAGAAAACTACAAACTAATATCCCTCATGAACATAGAGACAAATATCCTTAACAAAATTTTAGCAAAGAAAAGCTAAAATATCTATAAAATAATATGGTACGTCATGATTAAATGAGGTTTATTCCAGGAGCAAATGATTGATTTCATACCCCAAAATCAATGTAATTCTCCATATTCCTAGAATGAAGAAAACAACATAATCACTTTAATAGATGCAGAAAAAGTATTTGGTAAAGTCCAACATCAGTTCATGATAAAAATCCCTTAGCAAACAAAGAATAGAAGGGAAATTTCTCAATCTAATTAATGACATATTCGATAAACCTACATCTTTTATTGCACGCAACAGTAAAAGTTTCAAAGCTTTCTGCCTAAGGAGGACAAAAAGCATCAATATCCACCATAGTACTTCTAGTCAACATTTTACTGATGTTTTAGCCAGTATGATAAGTCATAAAAGCAATAAAAATCAATCAATTGCAAAGGCAGAAGTAAAGTTGTTTTTATAGGTATATGACATGATTGTGTATGTAGA